AAAAGAAAATCTGCTGAACTTGAAAGAGCAGCAATCACCGCAACGGCTGTATCACTTATTTTTACAGTAATCACCAGGTCAGCATTTAATGTCAGATAAAGGGCACGTCCCCAGAGGGGGCAGGGGACTCATTCTGCACTACGCACCCCTGCCTCAGCACATGGGCATGGGAGGGATTGCAAATGCAAAGCAGAAAAAGAAAGAAAAAAGGATCATGGGGCATCTGAGCAGCCAGTGGCTGCACACACCAGTTCATCCCAGTCCCAGTGGGCAGATGCTGGTGAGCATCCCCATAAACCCCAGCACTAGGGCTGGGCTTCCCTTAATCAGAGAAGGAGCAGTACAGGCAGCAAATATATACACACATGAACATTTTGTCTCAATCTATATATGCAGATATAAAGATCCAGGGAGATAAGGAAGGCTGCTCAGCAGGACTGTGTTTGCCTGCTTTCCATCAGAGGGCAGTGGCAGCCCAACCATTTTTACCATCCCCTGCACAGTCCAGTTCATCTCATGAACATCTTCATGCTCTGGAGGATGAGTGCTGCTCTTCCCTGTTTCTCAGGTGTCCGAAGCCAAGACCTGGCTGGGACCAGGTTTCCACAGGCTTCTCCTGCATGAGCCCAGCTGTGCCAAGATGAACTCTTGCTCAATAGGTTTTTTGGAAGGAAAAAAATACCAAAATACTCCCAAACCCAGCAACAGGACAAGAGCAGAGACAAGGGTGCTGATGGAGAATACACAGAGGGTGACCATTACCCTGGGACACAAGGGGCATTTTTGGGGCTGATGCACTGCAGAGGGGAGGAAGGGACATGGGGCTGTGCAGCTCGTCCCATTGCACCCTGCCACACTGATGAGGACACGGGACCCCAAAGAAAATTCTTTCTGCAAGAGCCGACAGGCAGCTGCATACAGTTAACGGCAGGGTTTAAAGCTAACAATGGACTAAATTAAATACTGGGTTCAAAGCCTGACAAACTGCACCTCGCCTGGACTCAGAGGGGCATCTCAGGGGACAGCCCGGAGGCAGCTCTCCGGCGGCTAGGGAAGCGCTGGAGAGACAAGTGCGTTTTTATGATTGCACACAGCATCTTCAGTTGCTCACATTAACTAATAAAAAACCACTATGTGTTTCTACAGATTGAAGCAAGGCTTTTTGAGGAACCACAAAACCCTTCTTTTCCACAGGCTGAATGTTTCTAAACTAGTTCCTGTGAAACTCTGCAATAAAGTCTCTCTCTAAATTACACTCATTAGTCAAATTGGGTTTCATTACCATCCTTTCCCTCAGTGCCCATTACACCAGCTGGATGCTGCATTTCAGGAATCCATTACATGCTAACAACAAAAATGTTGCCTCTTAAAAAAATAAATAATAATTAAAAAAAAGACTTTCTGGTGAAAAAGTAGTTCCTATTTCTTTAAAGGTCCAAGATGTTATCAGCGAAGGGGAGGAAGATGAAACAGCTGCTTTTGGACACCAGAGTGCTCTTTACAATGCCCTGTTCTTCCAATTTTTTCTTTTATAAGCATAATTAACAGATGCAATAAGTTGTTATCCACATAGACAGCTTTTTGACTAATTCAGGCCCTCTTTTATGCACTTGGCAGTCTTTAGGAAACTTGGACAACACAACCCAGCACAGCAAGAGTAAAGTGTGCTGGCATATGGGATCACAGCTTGTCACCTCCTTGAGCAGCTCATATGTGGCATTTGCCACCATCAAAAAAAAAGAGAAGAAAAAGAAGACATTGATAACAGACATCTCTAGTACCATGCCTTGGGGCTTACTTCCTTAGAAATTAAACTAGAATCTTGCAAAATCTGGATATTTCAAAAACCTGACATTTAGATAACCAAACTGCCCTCCCTCCTTTGCTGCAATCTACCCATACCCAGGGATTTCACTCTATTTTAATCTGAAGGTCTTTTAAGTGTATTTAGGTATTTCAGGTTGTACTAAGTGATGAACAGCAGAAAATGAGAAGGTTCCTGCCTGTTGGGTTTATATGTTGGGTAATTCCAGTAAAACAAAAACCAGAGCAGGCTGTGAGCTTCAGCACACCCGTGTTACCAAAAGCTCAAAATTGAAGGGGCGGGAGGAAGGAACAGAGGGCATTTTTAGCGTATTAGTTGGGCTGAGAATTCACAGCCTTTAGAGAATTGCCAACAAACTCAGTCATGCCTTGTACTTGGTAAAACAGAAAGGAAACTATTACAGCTATTTGCATCCCTTCCATAACAGAGGAAAAAAAACCCCTCATATTGCTAAGTGACAGGCTTAGTCAAACACTTCCTCTTTAATGAAAACTTTATTAGATCCCAGCATGGTTACAATTTTAGAAATTGCTTTTAGTGAGTTTGATGGGTTTTGGAGCTAGGCTTTAATGTCATTGTCTTTTAAATTTGATCTTATTCGAACTACATTTAATTTGATTGCGCTGTGGTGATTGCTTTCATATGAGCATTTTACTATTTTGCTACTTATTTGCTCCTTTGCGAGCAAGGCACCCACCTCCCCTGGTGTTACCCCCAAACACGGCACAGTGGGTATTCAGAAACCACAGGGTGCCCCGCAAAGCCACAGCGTTTGGGGTTTTTTTTTCCTCTCCAGACATACATGCTACCTAGGCTCTGCAGCTACTGCTAAAGAGGATTGCCTTTCCTACACACACATTTTAACCTCTGTTTCTCAGTGGCTCCCAGCACCATGTGAAAGGAGGAAAAGCCCTGTCCCGCCTCACTTACCTCCCACATGGTTTCCCCATCTCCTCCCCAAGGAGCCCTTCATTGCCTGCACCCCACAGGCTCTGCCCTTGGTTTTGCTCCCTCTGTCCTGCTTTAACTCTTTCACACGCCTGCCATGAATGCAAAATTAAGTAACTGGCAATCGCTGCCACCTTTCTGCAACCGGTTTTTCTGCAAAGAAAAAAAAAAAACAACTTTGGCTGCAGCTGGCAACAAGCAAAATGTGAAGAAATTGGTAAGTTATGTGCATTGCTTCAGTCCTTGGAATGTTGTTCAGACACAGAATAAGGCTGTAACCCCCATGAAACGCAGTGTGGTGGGTGCAAAGAAGGCGAGCAAAGCATCCGCTGCTCTTGCACAGTTCGCACAAAATCCACATTAATCACTCTTTACCTCCCTCATCTTTATATCAGGGTATACTGTAAAATGTCAGCAAATAATTTAGTCTTTAACATGTTTAATTCACCAATTTGCTCTGTAAAAACTTTTCAACCCAGTTAGCAAAATCAAAACAAAGTCAAAAAATGTCATGGAGGGGTGCAGGGAGTCAAGCCTCGCAGACCTTAGCAGCCTTCCCATCCTCCGCACACCAGCGGCAGGCAGGCAGTAGTTTATTAAAACACCCTGGAGAAACCAATATCCAGCCTGGGAATACAGATATCCAAAATGCTCTTAACCCATATTTCCCAGTGTGACACAAGAGCAGATGTGCATTTTCTACAGTCTCTATGGCCATGTATATTGGTGACACTGCTAATTTAGGACATGAAATTGTTATGGCTGCTCGCATGAGTCAAGGGAATATCAGAGACAGCATGGGCCAATGACCAAGAGACCTTACTGTTGTTTTTAAAAAATGCCCTTGAAGCTGGTGGGTTTTCATGTTATGTCTCGCCATGGTACCTTCCCCTCTGCTGCACTAAAGTGAGCCTGCAACTTGAAACTGAGAAAGTATCTGGCCTTCAGGATATTTATTATTAACAGAATTAGGAAAAAAAAGCTCATTTTCTGAGCTTCTGAGGAAATGCACAGAATTACTTCACTCATTCTTTTCTCCTCTTTGGTCTCAATTGGTAGGTCTCTAACAAAATTAGTAATTAACAAAATGAATTTAAGATAATGCAATTTTATCTGGATTGGTTTAGCTGAGCCCTGGACATGAGAAGCATTACACAGAGAGCTAGGTACTGTTCTTTTTTTTCCTACATATTCTGTCTAAACATATTGTTTCAAAATGTTACTGTCAAATAGATTTTTCCCCTCTCTACACATAACATTTGATGAGCAGGAAAACAGTAAACCAGGAGCGTTTCTTCTGGAGACAAAAATCACGCAGGGATTCAAATGGGAGTGCGGGGTGGGGGAAGGCGATGGTGGGTTTAAAACCCCTTGTGTAGCAGGACTGGCACAACACTCCTCCTCATCTTGCTTGTTTGCAGTAGGTTGTCTGGGGCTGAAACGTCTCACATGGTCTCCACCAGGCTATGAAGCCCACCCCAGCCAGGCTTCAGCTGGGTTCAGGTGTTGGCTCTGTCCAGGCCAAGCTGTTACCCCGTCACTGTTACTGTATGGCAGACATAAGTGATGTAGTTGGATGACACTTCACTGGGAGAAGAGGAAAGGAGAAGGCAGCATATGTATCTTGAAGACATCCTGATGGGTTCACCTTCTTTTCCTATGAAATACAACTTCTGTTCAGTGGCGTCCATCAGCAGCTGATGTTTCCACCACTGGCAAAGATGAGTTTGAATCCTGTGGAGCAGAACTGCTCTTGGTTCGGTTTTGGGCTGTAAGGCCAGTCTTCACCTATCTAGTGCCACGGAAGAGAGACAGCAAGGGCACAGCATCCCAGCTGAGAGCCCTGACCCAAAGCTGTATCTAACCTGGGCTTCTGGTTTTTATTGCACAGGGAAACAAAACGGTCAGTGGCTCCCAGTGGCACAGACTGGGTAGCCAAAGAGCCGAGAAAACAAACAACTTCCAGCTCCTGGCTGTAAACCAGGGCATTGCATTCCCTCCCTTCCCAGAAACAACACTCGAGGTGGCCTTGTCCATGTTCCAGTGTTCTCTTCTTCTTCAATTTCCTGTAATTTTGCTCAGCCGCAATATTATAGGGTTTCTAGTATTTTCTGTTTGGGCACAGTGAAGATTGTAAACATGTGTCTCTCCCACTGTTAATGCTGAAGGTTCACCATCAGCAACATAGTAATATCTGGGATGCATTAATGGAAGCCAGCTAATAAAAATGGAGTGCAAGGGTCTCATTTCACAGTTCGCCAAATCAGACTTTTCCAGCATGAGGTTGGGTGTGATGTGTGGCACAGAGCTGCATCCACCTGGCTGAACTTCTTTCCATGAAGCAACAGTCATGGTGGGAGGGCAAGGTATCCATCTGCCCAGATATTTTCTTAACTTCATTTGAACTCTTTTCCTTTTCTCCACCCAAGTTATCTTGCTAAACTTCAGGATTGTGCAACAGGCAGGAATGAAGAGAAATAGTTACAAATTGTCCTTAAAATTTGGGTTTAATATTCATGGCTTTGTTGTAAACAAAAGCAAACAAAACCACTTACCTGCTATTGTTAAATAGGTTGGAGCCTCTACACCGCCAATTAGCCAGGCTGGTGGTACACCTCGAGGGCTGCTGTCAGTTCGTACTGTTGGCCTGAATCTGCAAGCAAAAGAACTGAGGCCACATACATTTTCTGACTGGCTGGAAAAATTTGGATACAGCCTCTGTTGGGATGTATAAATAAAAAGCAAAGTATTTTAGACCTTTCACTTTGAAAGTAGAGCTCTCAAGGCACATGAAAATGCAGAGTCGCAGCAGTCATCCTTGCAGTTGTGATCTCCAGTGGTGAGTTAGCTGAATTTTGTTAAACATTGCTCATTGTAACCTACCTTCTTTTTCTTTCTCTTTTTTTTCTTTTTTCTTTTTTTAATGAAGTGTATCTGTAAGGATTTAGGAACTGATTTGTTGTCTGCCATTATTTGCTTTTGAAAATAACCCCTCTCGCATTGCACAGAAACCTCCACAGAAAAATCTTTTCTAGATGTGGTAAAGAGTTTTGGCAAAATTCAAAATTTTGTTGGAGTAATAAAGTTGATTGAATAAGAAAGAATCAGCTGAGGCATATCAATTACTAACAGCATGCATGTTTTCTTAAAAGCCTTTTACTTAAAGATCAGCCCGCTGAGCATAGAGTGTTCCCAGAGATGTTTCTGTGTTTAATGTCATCACCTTTGATTTCACAAAGAATACACAATTCATTAAAATAAATGAAGACTACCTAGAACAAAGGACTGTTTTGCTAGAGGAAGACATTAGAGATTTCCTGCACCCTTTTAGCACCAGACCTTCAGTGCCAGCACATCGTTTCCCGTTTGCGTGCACTCCCAGAGCGCAACGGGGACGGTGCCTGCTGAGCTGTTCACACACGCAAATAAACCTCAACTCCTTGCGTCTTGCTAGACCAACCCCATTCTTGGTAGAGCATCCCATGGGAAAACCTAGTGGTTTTGGTGGGGGGAGCAGGGCTGGTAGAGGCTCATAGAAGGTACCAAGTCGGGGGTTGCCTTTCCCCCCTTCTCCCCCATAAATGTCTTCCCTCTCTCAGACATTGCCGGGGCCGTAGGATCAGCGTAGGTTTGACTGTGGGTGACGATAGCTGGAGCCTGGAATAAAAAATATGAGGATGTTACCCTGCTGGCTGCTACTTTGAAAGAGTAATATAGAAACACTGGGAGATAGAAAATGCAATTAGTAAAAGCTAAGTGACAGCTTTTATTTTTGACTGGATCCCACATTAGGGAATAGGAGTGGACCTGGTGGGTCACGCTCAGCCCTGTTTTTTACAGTCACAGTTCAGTATCCCTAGATCCCAGGTGGCTCAGGTTAGCTTCCAGGCAGAGACAGCCCGTAGCTCCAGCCCCACGCCTGCCATGTGAATGCAGCACGGCTGCCTTGGGGCAATGGGAGAGGAGTGGGTCACTCCATGATGTCCCCTCCAGATCTATTTGTTCTGCATTTTTGCTTTGAAGTCACTGCTTTAAGTACCCTCAAACATCATTTGACAAAGCATTAAAAAAACCCGCTGTTTCATTGCATCCCTAAAATTAACCTGCATTAAAAGATGAACAACTTTCTAGTTCTCTGAAGCATGATGCATGGTTCCAGCAAAGTCCAAAGGGGCTTTGCTATAGATTAAACAACACAGGCTGGGAAATCCCCTTCCTAGTTTGTGGTTTTCATCTTCTGTTCTCTTGTCTTCTTTTGTAGCTGCTGCAGCACAATAGGCAAAAATCTGCTCAAGTCAACCTGCAAATAAAATCAGAGGCTGCAACTCCCAGGGCTGCAGTGGATGCAAAGACCCCAGGTCCTGGGCTGGGATAACAGGAGATTGCTGTGCTTAAAACTTTCTTAAAAATAAGCATGAAAAAATGGGCGAGAGGAGGGTTTCTAGCTGGCAAGGTGCTCCGCTGCAGGCTAACCTGCCTTGCTCTTCTTCTTCAGAGGAGGGAAGAAGCGCGGGGGAGTGGACGTGGTGTGCGAGGATGGCTCAGTGGCGCACGCACCCTTCACGGGGAAGATCGACAAACAAGCCAGGCCCTACAGAGACGGCAATGCCATTGACAACAGAGTCCAGCTTTCAGGATCAGGTACCAGAGCTGAAAGATGTGCGTCTTGCAAAGCCTGATTGCAAAATGCTCTGATTCGTTTATAGAGCTTTAAACTGAGCCAAAAATCATGAACACAACCTTAACTGCAGTGTGCTTGCATGTGAATCCATGCAAAAACTGTAAAATTGAAATCCAGGTTCTGCTAATGCAGGAAAATTGAAAGGATTGAAAGGATTACAGCATTTCACCTCTATTAAAAAAGTCAGAGGATGAAGCTGGTCCCTTTGCACATTTTGGATAATTAAAGGAACAGCCTCTGACTTGCTCATGCAGTTTTACCCACCTTAATCCCCTTCCCCACCCTCCTCCATGTTCATTCATTTCTTTTCATATTCTCCCTTCTTCGTGCTGTAGGAGCACCACAGCATTTTCTGTAACTTTTTCTGCTGCTGAATCTCTTATCATTTTATTGTCTTTTGTATTTTGCTACTGAACATTATGACTTTGCCAGGCTTTTAAGCCATTTAACAGGAGCAACAGTTTCCTCCTCTTCTCTCTCCCCTCTTAACAGGATTCTGCATTAAGATGTTTTACATCAAACCCATCGACTACAGCGGCCCCATCGAGAAAGGAGAGAAAATTGGCATCCTACTGTCCATGCAAAGGGTCTACCAAGGAATTACATCCCATGTCCATATCCAGAACTATGACTTAACAGATTCTACTCCCAACCTGTAAATGGGCAGCTGCGCATCAGGGGCAAAGCCTTCAGCCCCCCACCTGTGTATTCATTAAATTGCTTGGGCTTAGGTAGTCACTCCAGTAAAGTGGAAGCCACTGAGCCTCAAACAGTTGTTCTACCTAAAAAGTATCCATGAACAAAATGCTGGTGGTTATCTGAACATAAACAGAGTCAGGTATAACTCATGCTTTAAAGCTGTTACCGTGTCTTGCACATCACTGCACTCGTAGGCGAAGGTTGAAGCAGTGGGGAATGGATGAGTGGCTGGGAGGTGGTGGATCCTCGATGCTCAGCAGCACTGCAGGGAGCCGTGCTGCAGCTCACTCATCTTGGACTTCTCTGCTCGCTTTGCAGCCAAACACGAAGATTTCTTCAATAAGCCAGAAATTTCACTTGTGCTTGCATATGGAAAATCACATTATTAAAGGGCTGCTTCACTACAAATGGATTTGACTTTCTTTGGTGCTCTCACAGAGTTTGGGCTGGGTTCTGCTTTTTTAATGCAGTTGGGGAGAAAAAAAACCTGTATAAAGCTGAAACCCAAATCTTTCCTGGGGCCCATCACCAAAAACATAAAACAACATTAGTGAAGTAACTCATTCCTTTTCCCCAGACTCCTGCTTCAGGATTGCCTTGGCACGTCCAGGTTTCTTTTAGTCCAAGTGAGGCATTTCTTTCCATTAGTAAATCAGCTGAGGACTTTTCTGGGACAACGAGCTCTTGTTACCAGGGCAGGGCTTTTCAGGCCAAGGCTACCAACGTGCTACTGGGAGTCTCAAGTGCTAAAGTGCTCTACCAGCGCTGCAGGCTCATGTATTTACTAACGCGACTGCGGCCTCAGATAAGCAGGGAAGCTGCTTCAGTGGGAACTGTGTATGTCCTGACAGCAGATTTGTTTTTTCTAAGAAACTACAGAAAGATATTTGCTACATCTGTGAAAAGTACTTAACCTGCTGTGTCCCATTCACCTTCCCCAGGAACCACTTTAACTTTGTTGTGAATGGAACATCAGCACATCCATATACATGTACATATACACATCCATATACATATACATCCATATATAGCCCAAACCTGCAGGTGCAGATAGCAACCAGATATTGACGGCGAGTCAATATAACTGAGTTTTCTGTGAAAATAATTTTTCCTTATACTGAAAGCAGAAACATTTCAGCAAAAGTCCCTGGGGTTTTCCAGTTTTGACTTTTTTTTTTTTATTTTTGTCATGAAGTTGGCTGCCCGTGGAAAAGAAACATTTGCACCTAAGTTTCACTTGGTTAAAATCCCAGTTTTTAACTCAGTTATCAACTTCTCACATTTGAAAAGGGAAGGTCCCAATCAAGCCCCCACTTCTCTGTGCAAAGCCTAATGGAAGACTGAGCTGACCTTGCTGACTGAGCAGGGCACTGAGCATCCAGCCTTAATACACTACTGCTAAATTAACATCTTCACTTGATTTTAGTCCTTGTATGGGAAAGAAAACATGCTGCAACACTGTTTTTCCCCAGCAAAGACAGGTAAGCTCTTCCCTGGCTCACGCTTGTCTCCTTCCCCCTCCCTCAGCTGTCCCATGCCTCAGGAACCTGTTAATAGGGACAGAAGATCCCATCACCTCCTTTCTAAAGCACAGCACACAGGTATCACCAGGGCCCTGGGAAGAACATGAATGCCAAAACAGCGCTGAGAGGCCCCAGCCTGCCTTCTCCCTGCCCTCGGCACAGCATCTCACCCTCCTGCAGTCCAAAGAGACCTCGCGGCTGTGCCCACTCCCAGGGACTGGTGGTCTCCCCAGCTTGTGATGGAGCTGCTCCCAACTCAGCAGCTTCACTCCTCTACAAGTAACTTTTTCACCTGTACATTAATGACAACAGCTCAGCACTTTTCTGGTCTGTCCCCACAGACTGGTTTCACAAACTTTTTCCAGGAGCTATTATTTAATCTGAGTTTTTCCAGCAGCACAGCGAGGTGCAGTGCTTCGGTACAGGGATGCGGGATGCTCCAGCAGATGCCTGAGAAGGCAAATGCTAAAAATTCCTCTTTTAGCTGGGGCTGTCACCCAGAGAAGAAAAAGTAAATACCACTTTCTATTTGAGGTTACAGAGCAGCTGGGGCAAACGGTATAAGTAAATCCAGCTTTATCTTCTCAATCTAGTAAAAAAAATAACTGGCTGTAGAAGGGAAAGTACAATTTGTAGCTGACTCTGGGAAGGAAATAAAATGGTAAAATACACAGTTCTAGAAATATTCAAGGGGAGGGGAAAGGGTGCTGGGGGAAGTAACGGGGGCAACTAGGCTTTTCAGGAAAGAGCTGGCAAAGTCAGGCCATGCAAAATTGCTTTTTTTTCTGCACCAGTTCTGCAGGGAGCCTTTTCCTTGCTATCCCTTTCATTTTATAAGTTTGTACCACAAGGTGCCAGAGAGAGAGGGATAAGCTGGGATTCCAAACTTTGAAAGTCCTGACTGCCTAAGGCTGCAACCCAAACCTGCACTATTCCCTTCTATTTCCCCAAGCATTAAAGGACTTTTGGAGGATTCAGCCAGAGCTTTGTCCTCCCCACAGGACAGGACATCCGCAGCAAAAAGATTTTCTTTTGTGTCCCTCCATCCTCCCCATTAAAACCTGCCTAACTCAGGCTTAGCAAGTATATAAAAAAGGCAAAATAAATTCGAGATGGAGTCTTCAATCAGAACTGTGCCCCAGCACAACTTCAGCTTCACCGTCAGCTCCTACTTAGCAAAGAAGAAAGGCAACGTACTCAGATCTCCTACAGCCTGCTATCTACTTAAAATGACCTGCCCACCCATGCCTTTTGGATGATCAGTTAGCGCGACCTGCTGATGTTCCAGCGATACTACAATATAAGCTGTGTACACGAAGCTTAATTAATCGGTGTGGCAAAATTCCTCTTATCTCAGCCTCGTCAAGTGATCAGAAGCCTGAATAAAACGTGAGTGCAAGTTGGTTTATGTTGCGCCCGTTTGATTTTTCACCATGAAAGCCTGTGCTGCTAATTGCACAAGTAAATTCTTCTACAGTTAATATTTAAATCATAATTTGATTTTTAATGATTAGCACAAAGAATATTATTTATTTTCCAGAGAAACAGCTTTTGAGATTCTTTAATAACATATTGTACGCTGATCAGCCAGGAGGCGAGTGCTCAGCATTGACTTGTTCCCACACTGAACACACCGGGCTAGCCAAGAAGGACAAAGCCAATCATTCTCTAAAATACAGCTAGGAAGAGGATTTACCTTGCCAATTGCCTGCTAGCAAGCCTAGCAAACCTACAGTTACGATACTGTAGCATCACCGAGAAATAAGATGTGCAGCTCTCATTTATCCAGTTCACTGAGGCTGCAGCCCCACAGAGGTTGCAAAGAGGAAGGGATTTCTGGACCAAATCATCAGTTTTTGGATGTTGGCTGAATCCCACCAAGCTGAAACATGTAAAGGAAAGGATGGAGAAACCAGCCTCACTTGTGGGCACCAAACGGAGTATGGCAGCACAGCTGGAAGGGAACCACAGGCCTTGGCTGAGGGGTTGGATTTGCCCTGGCTCAGGGTTCGGCCCTGGCTTTTGCTGATGTTTCTTCTCAAAGAGTCCACTACAGTTGTCCAGGTGCGTCTCACAGTTTTCTGGCTTTTTTCCTCCAAAAACCTTATTCCATCATTTAACCTTTTTTTCTGTAACAGATAATGTTAGGATAGTTAATACATTAAGAGGGACTAGTCTAATGTTTGCAAGGTTTATGGACACACACATGGCAGGTACCATCTATCCAAAAGCCCTGGTAACTGGCAGTGGACCCTCCTGAAACACTACATAATTTACACAGCAGAGTCATAGTATCTTTGACAAGGCTGAATAGCAAAATAGGGATTTCTCCTGGACAGCATCAGGCTTAACTCATTCACTGCCTGTTGATACCAGCCCAAACACTTGGCATTTGCCTGCTGCACTCTTGCTGAGTCCATAAGAAGACCTCAAAGGGACTTATACAGCCAGGGAAGTTACTACTGACATAAAAGGGGCAAAATGGGGAACTCACACCATTCATGCAAGAAAAGGAAGTCAGCATTTCCCAAGCCAGCCCACCTGCTCTCAGCGTGCTCCTCGTAGCGCTGCACGCTGGCTCCTCTCCATCTCCTTGCCCACTCCCCGCCGCAGAGAAGGAAATGGGGCAACTGCAGCTCCCAGGGGCTGTGCAACACCGGCTGGTTGTTCCATATCCTTCTGTTAGTGTGTGCTAAGCAGTCAATTCATGTCTTTCACAACTGCACCTACCAACTGTTATATTAACGTCTCCGTTGCCCAACACAGGAATCCCACCAACTTTGGTTCAGAGCTTCCTCATGCCCAAGGTGAGAGGTCTGCACCTTCCAGCTCACCCAGGAAAGATGGGGAACCCACTGAGAAATCTCAGCTGCAATATCATACACTTGAAAACTGTTTTATTAAGAATAATTTACCAGAAGTGCATTAGATAGATATATTATTGTAGCAAATGACATTTTGACATGTTTCAGAAAGAACAGAGCAAGATACAATGCTGTTAAGATCTCTTATGGAGAAAATAGAAAAAATGTACACAGCTACAAGCAATTTGGAGTCAGCTCTGTAACACAAATGAGATGGAAAAAAATTGCAAAGAACTGGTAGCTTAGAGTGATTTTACAAAATACCAGACTGCTAAACAGGACTCAGAGAAAAGCTGCTTCAGTGTCTGTGCACCTATAACACAACTGTAATTCTCTCCTCATGCCTACCAGCTTGGCTGGCTTTACACCCAGCCTTTCCTTCGCAAGACTTTGTAGAGTGGATTGAGGTGCTGCAATTCCTTCCTTGGTAAAATTAGGAGCATGTGAATTCACAAAAGTCTATAAAAATTGTTAGCTTTTAAAGGCAGGTCTACCGCAGATAAAATTTATATAATGAGATATTTAAAGTGCTACTAGTGCAAACTGGCAGTGAGGAATAAATCAGAAATAAAA